CAGCCTTTAGCTTGACTGCAGCCTGTAAGTCATTCTAGTAAATCCCCTTTTCCATATGGAAAAAGGCAGGGGAGACTCATTATAAATTCTGTTACTCTAGAGAACCCTGACTAATACAATACAATTTCCTTAATTGAGCTTGCCAAGACTGGAGACTTTCTCTAGTCAAAGGTAGATCCCTCCCTCCAATATGGCCACATAGTGGAGATAATTGGCCAAATGGCATACTATCAGGCATATCAGGCAGTTTCTGAAGAAAGAGAAGTCAGAAAATACAAAAGAAAGTGTGCCAAAAGGTCTTCACCTGCTCATTTCCTCTCATCCTCAGTAGTTTAATCACTTGCTTCTGTCTTTCCCTCAATGCATGAGGGTGGTGTGGCACACAGGGCCATTCCACTGCAGGGGTTCCCAAGCATGAGTGTATCTTACAGTCCTCAGTGGTCTCATCAATGCAGATTACTCGATCTCTTTGGTTTCTTTCTTTCTCTTTCATTATCTTTTGGTTTTTCAAGACAGGGTTGCTTTATTTATCCATGACTGTCCTAGAACTCACTCTGTAAATCAGGCTGGCCTCAAACTCAGAGATCCACCTGACTCTGCCTCCTGAGTATTAGGATTAAAAGCATGTGCCACCATCTCCCAGCCCTGTTGAGTTTCTGATTCATATGCATGAGTGAAGCCTGAGAATTCATATTTCTAGCAAATTATTGATGTTGCTCAATCACTCTTATAATTCAGTGGATTTCAAGCTTGACAGACATTAGAATCACTAGAAGTGAGGAATCTGTGTTTCCTACTATTCTTTGGCTATTTTTTTTCTCTTTCAGTCCATGAAGCTTAACATTTGGTCCTGTAGTCTAGAAGGAGACTTGGCATTGTCACCAGGGAGAAAATCAGTAATTTGTATGACAGGATAGACCCATTTCACCAGGCTTTCCCATCAACATTGACATTCTTCATGGGACTAGTAGAGGAGGGGGATGATTATTACCTCCAGAAAAATTATGAAATGAATAGAACATAAATTAAATCAAGAAATGAACTGAAGTCAATCACATCTATTCTGTTTTACAACCAGTCAGAGAAGTTTTTTGGCAAAATTAAATGATGGCACTAAAATATTCTGAATTTTTTTCAATAACAAAATATTTAAAATGGAAGCTAAAACCTCTTCAATTATGAATTTTCCAGGTTGAAATTACAATGCTAAAATCAAATCATGAATATTAGTACCTAAAATCAAATGACTAAAAGCCAAAAGAGATGAAAGATTAAAATTCCATCCTGTTCCATGTGTCATTCCTCTGAGTACATCAGAGGAAGAATTCTCTAAGAATGTAGAGTTGAATTTTCTTTCACTGAATTAGATAGCACCCTCTTGGAATCTTCACAGCTCGATTGTATACACACTCCTTTTGGGGGGGGGGGCAGATCACAAAGAACATTAATGATTATCCAGCTACAAGCTTTAACTTTACTTGTTTTAGAAGACACATCAGTGCTTGTCAGTCAGTTCAGCATATATCTCAAACAAATTGTATTCCCTGAACCTTCTCTGAATTGTTGCCAGTGATCCAGGGACAATAAGACTGAGAGAAAACAGACAAAATCCTTGATTTCAGCTTTATGATGATGCTAGACACTTTTTCTTCATTGAGAGAACACAAATTTGAACTCAAACTTTGAATACTCTCTTCAGAGATTTGTCATAGACCATTTTCATCTATCAGAAAGGCAGGCAGGAAGTTATCTATGCATACTGTCCTAGCAATTACAGATAGAACTTGAGACACGGCTATGCTCTAATAAAATCTAGCTATTTACATGATGAAAACATCTCTGTTCATTTGCCTTTGAGAACTCTTTCTGACATGACCATAGCTGGCATGCATGAAGGCTCTCTCTACTGACAGTCTCCTCCTTCCCCTTGCCTCCTGTTCTGAAATTACTCAGACCTAGAAAACTTGCCTGTCAGTGAAGGTTTCATTCTTCTCTAACATTGGTTTCCACTGGAAAGTCACTGAGAACAAATGGCTGAAGGAATGTTGCTGCCACCTTGGAAGCCTGTGCTGGGACCCATTGAAAAGTGAAGCTCAGAATATGACCTTCCTCGCCTTTGAAGTGGTCCAGACTTGGAGTAGGCTTTCTTTAAGCTAGACTGTTCTGCAGCAGTCAAATACAATTTTAATGCTCTATACATGTAGTTCTTGTCTTTTCAGAAAAATCCAGTATATTTTACTTCAATAATTTTATTTGAATATTTTTATTCAATAATTATTTCCATACAACAAAATCTACATCATATATACATTTGATGACAAATGTATGTAGTAATGGAAACACTGTGACAATCAAGAGAAAGGCCATTTCTGTCATGTCCCAAATAGAGACATGAATCATAACCAATCATAATGCAGAGTTGTGGAGCCCAGTTCCAACAAAATACAATACAATACAATTCCTATAACTAAGGTTCAGGGGTCATTGCAGAAGAGGAGACATAAAACCTGTCAGAGCCAAAGGATTGGGGAATTTGCTGTGAGATTGTGTCTCCTGGGAATGTCAGAAGCTACACCCATAAAGTCCCATCAACACGACTGCCTAAACATGGGTTAAACAAGAATAACAACAATAAATACATAAAAATGGATGTCCATGTGGCATCGACCCTAGACAAAGAACTACAGACAAGTAAGGAATGCTGATAGCAGGATAAATAGTCTTCCTCAGGGCAGAATACACTAATTGATTATCCAGTACCAAATTGTCAGCCCTGAGAACACTTTTTAAAATTCTCTTAAATAACTTTCTAGGCATGGGATTGCTGGGCCATATTCTAAGTGTGTATTTAATTATTTAAGGAAGTGTCAAAATTTTGCTCTTTATTTAAGTTGGTTAAATGTGTTCTTTAACAGTTTCTCACAGGTAACCAATGTATTCTGATTGTTCCCACCCTACCCTGTCTTATTGCCCTCCCACCACTGTCAGCCCTTTTGTGGCTCTTTACAAATTCCTTTCCCACACTGAGGTCTTTTTATTTGTTTTATGACCCACTGAATTTACTAAGGCCATCTATGTGGCCATGTGTTTAGCAATATCCATGATTATCAGTAATCAATAGTTAGCAGGTAGTTATTGAGCCTTTCCCTAGTCCATAGTTGACTGATGACAGATCAAATCCATACTTGTGCCGGCTCAATGAAGGCAATCAACAGTTGCTGTGAGATCATAAATGCAATGGCTATGTCATGCCCTAAAGATGTATTTTGTAACCCTCTTGCTATATT